CCCGGCCAGCAGTCACAGTTTAATGTCTGATGGGACTCTCACTGTGTTTCTTGGTAGAAGTGTCCCCTCTGGAAACCAGGCCTTTTAGATTAATTATTTCTTCAGCTTTCCCCCCAACAGCCCCATCCCCCATCCTATACGGAGAACACTGGTGTTGCCAACTATTTTAGACTTCAGGTGGGAGTATCAATGCATTGACAGCACCCCAGGGTAGCACAGCAGCTGATGGAATTCCTGGGCAAAGATATGAACCTTCCTGCCAAGTGATGGGCAAAAGTAGATTCTGAGAAGCAAAGGGGTGACCAATACTGAGTATCTTCCATTGTCTCAATAAATCTGCCTCCTCTATGAATGACATTGATAGGCTTCCTTGTCTTACGGCTTTTGGTTTGGTTTGGCTAATGGGGAGGCCGGGCATGAGATCAGAAGCATGAAGGAGAGTGAGGTCTGACCCTGGCTGTTTGCTGCAGGAGGACCTGGGGCTGGATGCTATCCCTGACTGACCTACCCTCAGCTCCTGGAATGCAGCCCTCTCCTCTCCTCTCCTCTCCAGATTCAGTTGCTCCCTCCCTTCATCCCTTCACGCTCTGGGGTGTTAAAAGAGCTCTGCCCTGCTCAGCTACTGGGTGCTTTACAACCTTTTGTGGTTTCCCTGGATCCTGTCCACAGCACTGCGCGTAGACCCTTTATGAAACCTCTACGTGAATTGTCCTAGTCTGTGGGTGCCAACCCGAGTTCCTGCTGGGACTCTGACTGATGTGCCAACTCACTGAAATAAGGAAAAATCCTAACAACGTCTCAGAAAACCCAACAAGATCAGGATCCACCATGTCTCTGACCACATCATCTTCTACTGCTCCCCATCACCTGCTTTGTTCCACTCCAGCTGTATTGGCCTCCTTGCCGTGGGCCTTTGCATGCCAACACGACTCGTGCAAGACAAATTCTTATGACTCACTGTCCCAACTTGTTGAGATCTCTGCTCAAATACTCCTTACCAAGAGGCTTTCTTTTCCTCATCTATATAAAATTATTCCCAATCCCCCTTAACTCTCTTAAAATGCTTTTTTTCATAACTCTATAATACCATACTTTCTTGATTTTTCTATAATCTGTTCCTCCTCCACAAGGATGAAGTATTTCAATGGCAAAACTTTGCCTGGCACATAGAACGTACTCTGTAAATAGGGTAATGGTTAAGTGCATGGACTGTCTGGGTTCAGATCTTGGCTCTACCATTTACCAGTCAGTGAATGCAGACGAGTAACTTAAGTGTATCATACCAGTTTTCTCATCTGTAAACTGGAGATAATAACATTACATACTTATGTTTATAATGCACACTCAGTTAATATTTACATGGCATTTAGAAGGGGCCCTGACCCATGGAAAGTACTATATCAGGAGTTCAAGACCAACCTGGCCAACATGGTGAAACCCTGTCTCTACTAAAAATACAAAAAAATTAGCCGGGCGTGGTGGTGGGCACCTGTAATCCCAGCTACTCAGGAGCTGAGGCAGGAGAATCACTTGAACCTGGGAGGCGGAGGTTGCAGTGAGCCAAGATCGTACCATTGCACTCCACCCTTGGTGACAAGACCAAAATTCCATCTCAATAAATAAATAAATAAATGTTTGACCATTTATTATTAATACATTACAATACTTTGCCATGTAAAAATATCATCTCCACATAAAAAGGAACAATACAGAAGAAAATACATAATCCTTATGCATCTAGTTATATAACATCAAAATACATAAAAATCACAAAATTACAATATGTTAATACATAAACATAATGGAAGAGTTTACCACACCTCTATCACTAAATAAGGTTAGAAAAAGAAATCTGAACATATGTACTGTACTTGGAAATACAATTAAGTTGCATTAATGTGCATATACCCTATATCCAAATATTAGAGAATATACATTGTTTTCAAAGAAACAACATGGGTAAAATTTGACCCATTTATAGGTTTACCAGTTAGATTCTGCATCCTGCTGGAAGTTAACAGAACACCACCTCAAAAACAAACAACAGATCATGTTGGCTTCAATCAGTTGTGTCTTTTTTTTTTTTTTTTTGAGACGGAGTCTTGCTCTGTCATCAGGCTGTAGTACAGTAGCGCGATCTCGGCTCACTGCAACCTCCGCCTCCTAGGTTCAAGCAATTCTCCTGCCTCAGTTTCCCAAGTAGCTGGGACTACAGGTGCGTGCTGCCATGCTGTGCTAATTTTTTTGTATTTTTAGTAGAGACAGGGTTTCACCATGTTGGCCAGGATGGTCTTGATCTCCTGACCTCATGATCGTTAGGGGTTTCTTTCAGTCACGTAAGAAGTGTAACAATAAGGAGTTCAGAGCAGATGCAGCCAATCGGAGGCGCTTGGAGAGCCCAGAGCATTGTGATTTTTGGCTGCACTTTTGGTTTCTGTCATCATGGTCATAAAGAAGTTCTTCAAACTCTAGACCTTGAGGCCACCTTCCAAGAGACAGAATGGGTGAGATGAATGGAAAATAAGTGAGAACGAGCCAGGAGATGTTCCCCACAGTGACTTCTACTTACTTCTCATTGCCAGGGGAGTGGGAAAAAACTTGCCTGGGCTTCAAGAAAAACTCTAAGATTGAGAACATTCGATACCATTCACAGACAACTTGAACATGTTTCTTTCTTTAAGCAAATAAATGGAGGAGAATGGACACTGGGAAAGCAGCCAACGTATTTGGCATATCAAGAGAGAAAATAATCAGTATCATAAAGCTCATGTACTCTGACAAAAACACCATTAAATTAGAAAAACGTGTATTACAAATACTAATTTCCATTATGATAAACCGAATCACTCAGAAGGTCTTTGGAAATAACTTTTTGAATATGCAATATGTCTTTAACAAGCAAATTATAATAAATACATTGCATTAAAATTATGAAATATAAGTTAATGTTTATTTTAGGGAACAGCTATACACATGTTTATGTTAAAAGAAAAAAGACTAAAAAGTTAATGAGCTAGCAGTCCAATCTACAGATGAGACACTGATGTAGGAAATCCCACACTCAAAACAGTTATCATACTTTTTGTTCCCAGTGAAAATTGTGGCCACTCAGTGAAGAGTTGAGGCTGAGGCATCCTAATACTGATTGCATTCCTAGGGGTTTCTCCATGTAAGTTCTCTCATATACAAGAAAGAGAAGAATCACTGAAAAATATTCCAATATTAATATACTCATAGGTTTTGCATCCAGGGCGAAGTTCCATATTTCCCATAACACAGAGGCATCACTGAAGGCTTTTTCTTTTTCTTTATATTTGCAAGTTTCTCTGCAGTGTGAATGCTCACAAGTTTCCTAACAAATGTGGAAAACCGGAAAGCTCTTCAATATTGATGATGTTCAATGGGGCATTCACCCCAGAATTAATCCGCAAGTCCCTTAAAAACTGAGGGAACATTCAAGGCTTTCCCATAGTCACTGCCAAATACCACATTACAGTTTGCTCAGAAATGTGAACACTTTTGCTGTAGGATATTCCGCATTTCTGAGTGTTGTTCCATTGTGTGATTTCCAATGTGTGTCTTAAGCGATGACTGTCCCTGAAGGCTTCTGCACTCTGATGACCTTCACAGGTTTTCTCTCTTAGTGTGAGCTGTCACATGAATCCCTGCTGATAGCACTGAAGGCTTTCCTACAGCTGTTCCATTCTTCAGGATTCTCTCAGTCCATAACCTTCTAGGCCCATGAGGGTGAGAGTTTGAGCTGAGAGCTTTACCACACAGATTGTCCTCAAAAGGTTTCTCTTCAGAGTGAACTAATAGGAGTTATTGAATGCTATTTCATATTGATTAGATTAAAAGGATGATGTGCTGAGGGCTTTACTTCATTAATTCCATGGCAAGTTTCCCAGATGTTTCTGAGTGATCTGTTTCCTTCTGTAGTCTCTCACATTGTATCAGGATTGGTGTGTTGTGAGACCAACACAATAGGAAATAAGTGAAAGCTTAGCAGTCCTCCTGAGGATAGGTCATAAAAGTCATTTTGGCCTCTGTACTGGTCACCTCTTGGATCACTAACCTTCGGGAGAACTTATTGCCAAATCATAAAGGAACTTGGCCTTGTAAAGAGGCCTATGTGGAGAGGCATGCATGGTAATGACTGAATGTCCCCTGACAACAACCAACACCAACTTTCCAGGCATGTGAATGAGTCATCTTGGAAGTGGACTGTTCATCAGTAAAGATGTTAGATGGCCACAGCTTTGGCTGACATCTTGACTGTAAGTAAGGGCATGAGAGATCCTGCCATGTAACTACAGAGATAAGCTGTTCCTGAATTCCTGACCTGTAGAAATTGTGAGATAATAAATGTTTGGTGTTTGTGGCCACACAGTTTTGGGGGAGCATTTGTTACACTGCAACAAATAACTTATACATCCAGTGTGAGCTCTCTCAAACTCTCTTAGGGATGAAAGATCAGTGAGTGCTTTCCCCCAGAAGTTCCCACAGTTAATTCATATCCACCTATTATGTATTCTTTTGTGTACAGAAAGGTAGGAGTTACTTGTGAAGGATTTCCCACAATGATTACATTCATAGGGTTTTTCTCCAGTGTGAGTTCTTAAGTGTTTCTTCACAGCTGAGAGATTATTAAAGGCTTTTCCACAGTCACTGCACTCGTAGGGTTTCTCTCCGGTATGTATTCTCTTGTGCACAGTCAGAGAAAAGCTACTGCTGAAGGATTTCCCACACTCATTACATTCATAGGGTTTTTCTCCAGTATGAGTTCTTACGTGCTGTGTCAGATAGGAACTCTTCCTGAAGGTTTTCCCACAATCGTGACATTCGTAAGGTTTCTCCCCTGTATGAATGCTATTGTGCCCAGTGAGGGAGGACCTTGTGCTGAAAGCTTTTCCACACTGATTACATTCATGGTGATTCTCCCCCGTGTGAATCCTCTTGTGGCTTTTGAGGTTACAACTGGTGCGGAAGACGTGAAAACACTGGTTACATTCGTAGGGTTTTTCTCCGGTGTGAATTCTCACATGCAGTCTAAGGGATGAGGGATCACTAAATGCTTTCCCGCAGTGATTGCATTCATAGGGCTTCTCTCCATTGTGGATTCTCTTATGAATAGTAAGGTAAGATCTGCTACTGAAGGACTTCCCACACTGATTACAGTCATAGGGTTTTTCTCCAGTATGAATTCTCTTGTGCTGAGTTAGGTTAGATTTTGTGCTGAAGACTTTAAAACACTGATTACATTCATTGAGTTTCACTCCACGATGACTTCTTTCCTGTGGATTAAGAGACGAATGATAACTATAATTTATAATATTTGAAATACTTAACGTTCTCATAGGAATTTTCTCTCCCAGGAATTGTTACATTATTATAATCGATACTTTGGCTACTTTCAGTGGTTGTATATGGTTTCTGTCCAGTTTTAGCGCTAAGCAAGTTAAAAAACATAGATGCTTTGCCACAAGTCCTTATCAGATTCACAAAACATTTTCTGATAACTTCTGGATGAAGTTTTGTTCCCAACAGTCAATATCTGAGCCTCAGATAGGAAATATTTACTTGTGGGAACTCTCAGTGAAGAAATAAGTTTGAAGCTAACTCAACACTTCTCTATAAATATTTACAATTTTCACAGTGTCTCTCCAGGGACACGGCATTCTCAATTATAAATGACACTTTCCTTTAATCCCTCTCCTGGTTATTTTGTGCCCTTTCTAAACTTAGGGCATTCTCCTACTGTAGAGAAGCAGAAATCACCCATGTTAGTCTTACCGTTTTTACACCTTTAGACTGTTCTTTTCTGAAAACATGCTTCTTAGGAGTTAACCATTTGACTTTAAGTAGAGTCTCCAAATCTGAAACAAAATGAAAAGAAATTTAGGTTGATGGAGAAAATAAATGGAAAAGTACACACATGAGTAAAGGCAGATTCTGAGGGATCAAGGTTTTTGAGGATGTTTGCAACAAAGAGGATTTGGTTATGAAAATTTTAGGTATTAATTTTAAAAAAGGATTCTAGACAAATTGAGACTGATCACAGATTGACGAAAGGAGGAGTGATCAGGAATGCAAAGTGGGAAGGAACTTGACGGAAATTTTCAAAAGAGTTGCATCTTTGTTTCTTCCCTGAGCCCGAAGGGAAGTATGAGATGATGATGAGAGAGTCAGAGAGAAAAGAAAGGACATGAGGAAGCTCATACCAAATGTTCTTGTGCATCTTTGGCGGGAACAGGGCATTTTACAAAGTTCCCTGATTGACATTAACTAATGTAATACTCCCAACCCCCAAGTCACTGGCCAGAGGTATTCCTCACAAGGGCTCATATCCGCCTGGTGCTCACCTGGACAGGTGCTTGGTAGAATTCCTCTTTCTTCTGTCATCACCTTCTTGTCTTGTTCCAACTGGGATATTAGACTGGGTTTATTAACACGACACCCTATTTACGGAAAACGTACACATGATATAGGGAACGGTGCTGGGGACAACCAACTCCATGAAACAAATGCCAACATTTCTGAAGATGGAAAAGTGTGACTTTAGGAACGGTGAAATAAATAATCACTTTTTTTTTTCTTTTTTTTTGAGATGGAGTCTTGCTCTGTGCAGCGGCATGATCTCGGCCCACCGCAACCTCCGCCTCCCAGGTTCAAGCGATTCTCCTGCCTCAGCCTCCTGGGTAGCTGGGACTACAGACGCACGCCACCACGCCTGGCTAATTTTTATATTTTTAGTAGAGACGGGGTTTCACCATGTTGGCCAGGCGGGTCTCGATCTCCTGACCTTGTGACCCACCCACGTTGGCCTCCCAAAGTGCTGGGATTACAGGTGTAAGCCACTGCTCCCTGCCAATTACACCTTAATTCTAGTGCATACGGTAACTCTCACAGGGAACAAAAATGCAAGCATATTCAACTAGATATTCAGGGTTACAGGGCATAAGCAGCTCCAGAAGCCCATGCTTGAGTTCAAATGCACACTTCGGAGGCCCCGACACTTTTAACCATGAAGAATATAAAGTCAGGACAAGAAACAGATCTTCAGTTCGTAAGGCAGGAATTAGAGACAGCCCATGAGGGTGGGGCCGTACGGCCCCATTCATCACTGTGCTCCCAAGCCCCTGCACAGACCTAGGAACACAGAGGTGCTTAAGAAAACTTAAGAGAAGTGATGACGGTGACAGTGGTGGTGGAGCGAGTTCCAGACGTTCATCCCTCCACAAAAACAGTGAGGAAACCGGCAAAAGCGGTCAGAATCAACTTTATTGGAATTGTGGAAATGTATCCAAAGTCCACAGCCATCAGGAGCATGCCTTCTCAGAAAACCCAGCTGAATCTGGGTAAGAAAGCTTTACGATACTTTAAATGGACCTCTTTCCCCCTGCTTTGTCTACAGCCTTGAAGACAACAGCCTGGATTCCTAGTACTTGCAGGGAGCAGAATAGACCTTACTCTGTGGTTGCTTTTCCTGGCCTAGCTGGTGGTTCCCTGAAGGACTGGCTCAAAGGGTTGCCTTTATTTATCTAACTCCAAATTCTTTCAGGGACTGAGCTGGTTGCCTAGAACACATGTGATCGACACATGTGAAGGCAAATGTATTAGTCAGTACTGCCTGAGGCAAGAGAAGACAGTAGAAGCAAACAAAAGACTAACCAAAAAAACCTGAAAGGAAAAATGGGGAAAAAGATGTTTGGGGAGTAGGACTTTGAAAATCTTCCTCATATTCTTAAGAACCTGTAATTCCAAGCACATACTCAGGGCTGGGAGCATGCCCAGAAAATACTTAGAAGGCACAAAAACCTCACCTTTTGGTGACCTTCAGGCTCTGCACAAGCCAGAAATGAAGGTCAAGGCAGAGTTAACTGCCTATCTAAGTATTAAAGGCATGTCCCTATGTACACGCAGAGCCCGTGTAAAAAGACTGGAAGTTTTTTCCTTTCTTGTTCCAGGCCGTCAAATCACTATATGACCATTACGCTATCAGTGGCCACACAGGGCAGATACAGACATTACAAAGTTAGTTCTGAAATAGAACTACTGTATATCCTAACAAGAGTTTACAATATATAATATTCTAGGACTTTAGAATATATCAGAGTTCTATTTCAGAACTAACTTTAGAACTGTCATATGTTCTATCGATACATACAATACCAACAACAACAAGCAAAACAAACTCTGGAGATGAGGAAAAGTCTCATTCCCAAATTGCTATATTATAGTATTCCAAATGTGTAGTTTCCACAAAATAATTATGAGGCAAGCAAGGAAACAAACGTTGGGCCCATTACAAGACAAATGAAGCTGGTAGAAATTGTCCCTTCAGAAGTTCAAATCCTGAACTTCACTAGACAAGTAAAATAAGTCAACCATTTTAAATCTGCTAAAAGATGTACAAGAAATATGTATAAAGAACTAAAGGAAACCATGAGTACAAATTCTCATCAAATGAAAAACAGCAAAATAGGTACAACTATGGCATATGGAAAAAATACAAAAAAATGGAAAACATAAAGAGAAACTTTAGGAAGGCAAATAAAAAAATTTGAGTTGAAAAGTACAATAGCTGAAATAAACATTCAGAACATATCTGAGCAAGCAGAAGACAAAATTGGTGACCATGAAGATAGGACAACTGATATTATCCAGTCTGAGGAGCAGAAAAAAGAGAGAGGCCAGGCACAGTGGCTCATAGCTGTAATCCCAGCATTTTGGGAGGCCAAGGCAGGAGGACTGCTTGCATCCAGGAGCTGAAGACCAGCCCGGGAAATACAGTGAGATCCTGACTCTACAAAAAATAAAAAAATTAGCTGGGCGTGGTGATACACGTCTATGGTCATGCCTCTGTTTGGGAGGCTGAGATGGGAGGATCACTTGAGCCCAGGAGGTCAGGGCTGCAGTAAGCCACAATCACTCTGCTGCACTCCAGCCTGACAGAGTGAGTGAGAACCTGTCTCAAAGATACAGACAGAGAGAGAGAAAGAGAGAGAGAGAGAATTTAAAAAAAGATGAACAGAGCCTGAGACCTGTGGGATACCATCAAACATATATATGATGTGAAGAAGACAGAGATGTGAAGAGAGAGAAAGGGGTGAGAAGGTTGAAGAAATAATGGCTAGAAACTTCCTAAAATGTGATGAAAGGCACAAATGTACAAATCCAAGAAGCTCAAGAAACTCAAGTAGAATAAATTTGAAAAAATAGAGATTCATACTGAAACACACACACACACACACACACACACACACACACACACATTTTTTGAGCCAAGGTCTTATTCCGTCACCCAGGCTAGAGTACAGTGGTGTGATCATGGCTCACAGAAGCCTTGATCTCCTGGAGTCAAGCAATCCTTCCACCTCAGCCTTCCAAGAAGCTGGGACCACAGGTGTGCACCAGCACATCTGGCTAATTTTTAAATATTTTGTAGAGACAGGGTCTCTTTACGTTGCCCAGGCTGGTCTCATATTCCTGGCCTCAAGAGGTCTTCCTGCCTCAGCCTCACAAAGTGTTGGGATTACTGGCGTGAGCCATTGCACCCGGCATCAAACACATATTAATCAAGCTGTTGAAAGACAAAGGCAGCATCCTAAAAACAGCAAGAGGGAGGTGAACTATCACGTTACACAGGATCCTCGGTAAGATTAACAGCCAATTTCTCAATAGAAACCATGGAAACCACCAAGCACTGGAGTGGTACATTCAAAGTGTTGAGAAAAAATGGCAACCAAGAATTCTATGTCTGGCAAAACTCCCCTTCAGAAACAAAGAAATGAAGACCTTCCCAGAAACAAAGACTGAGTGTTTGTCACTATTACATCTACTCTACAAAAAATGATTGAGGGTGACTTCAGGACAAAATGAAAAGATAATAGATAGTAACTTGAATCCACAGAGAGAGGTGAAGAACACTGGTAAAGGTAAATACAGAGGTGAATATCAAAGTCACGGACAATGTGTTTTTGGTTTGTAACTTCTCTTTTATTACTACATAATTTAAAGACAAAAACATAAATGATTATACATCTACATTAATGGGCACATAATGCATACAGATGTAATTTGTGACAAAATTACTAAACAAAACAGCTACAGTAAAACAAAGTTTTTATATACTATTGAAACTAAGTTGCTATTAAACTAGATTGTTGTAAATTAAAGTGCTTATTAAAATTTTCAGGGCAACCACTAAGAAAATAACTAAAAAGGATAAAAAGAAATGAGAAGAGAATCAAAATGGCCCGCCAGAAAATATCTAACACAAAACAACAATGAAAGAACTGAGGAACAAAAATGATATGACACAAAGTAAATAGCTATCTATAGCAAATAGTAAATAGGCAGAAGTAGCTCCTTCCTTATCAGTAATTACATCATTGCAAGGTGGATTTTGGCAGAATGGATTTAAAAAATAACCCAATTACAGATGGTTCCCAGCTTACAATGGTATGATTTTTTAACTTTATGATGGTGCAAAGGTCATACGCATTCAGGAGAAACCACACTTCAAGTACCCTACAACCATTCTATGTTTCACTTTCAGTACCATACTCAATACATAATTTATAATTGTTGAGCTATTCAATACTGTATTTAAAATACCCTGTTATGTTAGATGATTTTGCCCAACTGTAGGCTAATGTAAGTGTTCTGAGCATATGTAGGCTAGGCTAACTGATGATGTTCAGTGGGTTAGGTGAATTAAATGCATTTTTGACTTTTCTTTTTTCTTTTTTCATTGTTTTGCATTTTTGACTTATAGTATTTTTAACTTACAATGGCTTTACTGGGACATAACCTCATCAAAGTTGTGGAGCATCTGTACATACTGTCTATAAGAGACTTTCTTTACATTCAAAGACACAAATATGGTTGATAGTGAAAGAATGGAAAAAGATTTCATTCAATAAAAACTGTTATAAAACATAGAGAAAGACATTATAGATGTACAAAGCATCAATTTATGGAGAAAATGTAACAATTATAAACACATATGTGCCTAATAAGAACTCCAAAATGTATGAAGTAAAAACTGGCATAATGGAAGGAAGATATAGAAAGTTCTACAATAATCGCTTGAGACTTCAATACTCCACTTTCAATAATGGGTAGAACAACATATTAGAAGATAAAAAGGAAACAGAGAGCTTAAACAATAAACTAACTAGACCTAACAGATACATAAAGAACACGTCACCCAACAAGAAAACGCATATTCATCTCAAATGCACATGGAACATTCTCCAGGATAGATGACATGTTAGGCTATAAAAAAAGTCTCACTAAATTTAAAAACAATGAATTCCTACAAAGTATCTTCCTTAACGACAACGGAATGAAATTAAAAATGAGTAACAGGGCTGGGCATGATGGCTTACACCTGTAATCCCAGCACTTTGAGAGGCAGAGGTGGCTGGATCACAATGTCAAGAGATTGAGACCATCCTGGCCAACATGGTGGAACTCCGTCTCTACTAAAAATACAAAAATTAGCTGGGCGTGGTGGTGCGCGTCTGTAGTCCCAGCTACTTGGGAGGCTGAGGCAGGAGAATCACTTGAGCCTGGGTGGCAGAGGTTGCAGTGAGCTGAGATTGTGCCACTGCACTCCAGCCTGGCGACAGAGTGAGACTCCGTCTCAAAAAAAATTATAAGGTTATGTATTGGAAGCCTTAATATGGTTAAGGTGACAACACTACTG